AGCAACAGAGAAGATGAAATGCCTGAGGCACTGGTTTAATGAGAGCCGCACAAACGCACAGGCAGGAGGGCAGAGCAGTCCTGCCAGCGGGAACACACCATCGAGAGGCCAGCTCTCCCCGCGTTAACTTGTAGATGTAACACGATCCCAATAAAAACCCACATCTCTGCAACTGAGAAGTTCATGCGGAGACATAAACAAGCAGGTAAGAGCCAAGGAAACCAAGAAAAGAAAGTGAAAGACAGCAACTTTATCAGATGTACAGCCACAATGGACGGTGGCTCGCTCACACCAGAGGACGGCCGTTGGCGGAGAAAGACAGACGTGGTAGTAAGTGGTGTTAAGAGCTCTCTGAAAAAGTATTAGGCAGACTCCCCCCTCATGCCATGGACTTGCACAAATCCCAAATAGAAGTATAAAACAGAAACCCTGCAAGACCCAGAAGGCGGGCGTGAGTTCCTTTGCCGCGGGGCAGGAAAACCGTCCTAAGGCTGGTTTGAAATCACAGCGCCATTGGAGAGAAGATAGAGACATTCAATTCTACAAATTGGGGAAAACACTTTCATGTGGTAAAAAAAAAAGTGTCAAAGCGAACTAAGGGGAAGTATTTGTAATAGTACATAAAAGGTTAACACTCCAATTAAATAAAGATCTTCTAAAATATGGAAAGGTCCAAGTCACAGTGGAGAAGTGAACAGAAGATAGGAGGCACTTTCCACCTTCACATATGTGCATGTACACATGCAAGTGCGCACACACACGTGTACACACATACATGCACACAGTGCACACACGCGTGCGCACATACATGCACACAGTGCACATGCACATACATGTACGCACATGCATGCCCAGTGCACGCACACACGTACGCACATACATGCACAGTGCACACGCGCACACGCGTACGCACATACATTCACACAGTGCACATGCACACACGCACGTGCACACAGACTATGCACTCGTGCAACACAAATCTGCACGTGCACACACGTGCGCATATACACACGCATACGTGTGCGCACGTGTGTGCATGCAAATGCACATGTATGTTCGTCCACGCGTGTACATGCTCCACACAAGCGCTATACATACGCACACATACATATATTCCATGTATGTATATACATATCCCTTAAGCAACAAACGGATGTTCCATTTTACTCATAAGAAAAATGCAGATTATGGGGCGCCTGGGTGGCTCAGTCGTTAAGCGTCTGCCCTCGGCTCGGGTCATGGTCCCAGGGTCCTGGGATCGAGCCCCGCATCGGGCTTCTGCTCTGCGGGAAGCCTGCTTCTCCCTCTCCCACTCCCCCTGCTTCTGTTCCCTCTCTCGCTGTCTCTCTCTGTCAAATAAATAAATAAAATCTCAAAAAAAAGAAAAGAAAAGAAAAACACAGATTTCAATGAACCTATCCATGGGCAACACTCCGAGCGCATGACTCTGCACTGCTGGCAAGGATGCGGAGACACAGGCCCCTCGAGCACTGGGAGCATGGCGGGCGGGAAGGTCAGACTGGAGATCTGTGTACTAGCCGGCAGTTAGCCAAGCATTTGTGGTCTGATCCACGAACCCCACCTGTGAAATACCTCCCGGGGGTGAGCCATGTGCCCGGGAGGGCCCCAGGGGAGGCGGCCAGAGCAGGAGGGCCTGACTCAGGCTCTGAGTGAAGGGACCTTTGCCCATGCTGGTCAGTGCGGGCCATGGGCCACTCGCTGCCCCAAAAGGAACCAAGTGGGTGTCCTATCAAAAGACAAGGGAGCACTTTGAGCATAAAAAAAAATACCAAAATTAAAAGTAAAGATCTAATTGATTAACACATTTTGAGTATGTTGTTTTAAAAAATGAGTTCAGTGGTTGGCTCCATAGCTCAGGGGTTAGAGCACTGGTCTTGTAAAAAATGAGTCCATATTCTGGGAAAAAAAAAAAAAGACAAAAATGCACACAGCAGAGAGGGCAGGAAGCGGTGGCCTCAGCAAGGCGCCGGCCGGGCCACCCACTGGCAGCACGGCGGCTCAGATAAGAAGCCAGCGAGCCGGGCACAGTCAGCACTTTTGCTGCTCACCTTCCCGGAACGCGGCCTCGGCAGCCCGCCCTCACTCACTTTTTCCGTCCCCTGCTCTGCCCCAGCCCCATGTGTCAACGGCCCCGGCTGGGGCACCTCGCCCACCCCCACCCATGCCCGCCCAGCAGGTCCCTCCCTGACAGCCCCGCGCATGCCCCGGAGGGTGGCCGCCAGAGGACCCGGGGGTGAGCCTGGGCTTCTCGAATGAGGCCTGAGACCCTGGCACAGGGAACACAGAGCATAAGGCCTGTGCCCCCCAACAGCCCGGGCCCACCAGAGCCCCTCTTTCCAGGAGGACGACCCCTCCCACTGCCTGTGCCCACCATCGCCTGGTCTGCAGAGCTGGAGACAAGAGCTGGTCACCTCCAGTGAGGAATCCGAGGTCATGTAGGACAGAAAGACAGGAGTCCGAGCCCTACCCTGAAATCCAAGGTGGGGGCCCTGGAGGACCAGGTGGGGGTGCTAGCGGGAGAAAAGCACAGACCCCAAAGGGACCCTGGCCTGGGATCATGAAGGCAAAGCTGGTGGCCTGGGCCCTGGGGTCTCAGCCCCAGTAGGTTAGTTGTTTGGTGGGGACAGTTGCCTCTTCATGTCAGGGTGAGGCTCCTGAAGTTTCGGAGAATTCAGCGGGGGTGTCCTCCTGAGGGCAGTCAAGGTGGCAGAGCCAGCACGATGCCGACCTGAATCGCTGGAGCCCCTCCACTGCGGCTCAACCGCCCCCCTTGTGGCGGGGTCCTATGTCCTCTGACTCCAGGCCGGCAGCAGCCCCCTCCCTTGTGCGGTCTGTGTCCGTGGCTCCCGAGCTGACTGACTCGTGGTGAGAAGGCTGAGGACATTTTCTCGAGTCCCCTGGCCACTTGACTAGGCTCAGGATTCTACAACTATCACTATGCACTTTCTCCTTTCTTACTTCCTGAGTTTATAGCTATAGTGCTGTCACAACTGTAGATCCATTTTAAAGCAGTTTTAGGTTACAGAAAATCGAGCCGTGATTCTCAGCTTAGATCACACCCCCACGCCCCCACACATACAATTTCCCCTCGGTTAACTTCCCCCATTGGTGGGGTACAGTTGTTGTAACTGATGAGCCGACGGCAAATACAGTATCCCTAACCAAAGTCCATCGTTCACACCAGGGCTCACTCTCCGTGTCGCGTACTCTGTGGCTTCGGACAAGTGTCCAGTGACACGTCGCCACCGTGACAGCCTCACACGGAGTCTCTCTGCACCCCACCTGCTCACCCCTCCTCCCCACAACGTCTGGCAACCACCGATCTCTTTACCGTCTTCAAAGGCCCGCCTTTTTCCAGAACGTCATATGGAATCACACAGCATGTAACCTTTCACTTAGTGACACACATTTCAGGGTCCTCCGTGTCTTCTCTGTCTGGATGGACCACCACTGGTGCATTCATCTGCTAAAGGACATCCTGATTTCTTGCAAGGTTTGTCAATTATGAATAAAGGCGCTATAAACATCCATGCGCAGGTTTTTGTGTGGACATGAGTTTTCAACTCATTTGGATAAGTCCCAAGGAGCACAACTGCTGGATCCTACGGTAAGAGGCTGTTTCTTGTAAGAAACCATCAAACTTGTTTTCCAGCGTGGCTGCCCGGTCCCCGAGGGAGAGCGCCTGCCGTTTTCATCCTCGCCACCAGGCGGTGCTGGCCGCGTTCCAGATCCTGGCCCTTCTGATCGCGTGCGGGGGGGACCCTACCAACCCCCACCCCCTTGGCATAGGATGCAGAGCGCCTTTCAATATGCTCAGTTGCCAAAATATACAAACAACGCTTAAAACTCACCAATAAAAAAACAAACAACCCAATTTAAAAAGAGGCAAAAGCTCTAAACAGACACTCATGCAAAAGACATACAGATGGTGCGGCCCCTTTGGGAGACAGGCTTGGCAGTTTCTTACAAAGCGCAACTCTCCGGTAAACCAGCATCGTCCTGAACCGTTTGACAGAGTTCACGGGGAAAGCCAGGCCACCTGAGCGTTTCCTAGTGTGCAGATTTTAAATTATGGCTTCTGAGTCTTTAATAGGATTTTTCTGACTTTCTAGTTCCTCTTTAATAAGTTGTATTTTTCCAGGAATCGTGCATTTCATCTAGGTTTTTAAGGGTATTGGCATAAAATGGCTCCTAATATCTTCTTGAAATCTTTGAACATCTGTAGGAAACTCGCATGCCCTCTCTCATTCCTGATGCTGGTTATTCGTGTGTTCTTTCTTTTTTTGTCACCAGTCCCACAGGGATCATCAGCTCTGTAAGTTTTCTGAAAGCGGACCCTGGCTCCATTCACCCCTCTACCCTGCGGTTCTTCCCATATCCCACTAGTTTTGCTCTTGACTCTTCTCTTTCTGCTCCTCTCTCCTTGGACTCAGTTTCCTGCCCCTCTCTACGGGGGGGGGCGTCAGCGGCGGACACTCTTCAGCTCATCTCACATGTTCACATAATTAATTCCAAATTCTGTTCCCATTTTCACTAGAGCTTCTTCTTTGAACCAGGAGTTATTCAGAATCATGTTTCTCAATTTTCAGACACAGGAAGATTTTACATTTCATTTTTATTTCTAGTTCAATTTCACTGTAATTTTCAATCCTTCCAAGTCTTGTAGAGACTTGATTTCAGGATCCAACATGATGTCAAATTTATATCCGGGTATATTTGAACAGACTGAATAATCTGTGGGGTTTTTTTATTATTATTATGTTATGTTAGTATTCTGCGGTTGTTTTATGCTGTGTTCTGTATGTGTCAATTAAGTCAAGTTTGTTAGGCAGGTGGGCCAAATCTTCTGTGTTCTCACTGATTTTGTCTGTTTGCTCAATCGGTTACCGAGACATGTGTCTAAAATTTTCTATGACAACTATGGCTCTGTTTTCTCCTCTAGGTCTGCCCACTTTTGTGTCATATTTTGAAGCATAGCGTTAGGGACATACAAATGGGTCTGGCCAGAAAGCCCATCGGGAAGGCTGGCAGCGCTCCTGAGGCTTGCCCCGACGGCTGGGCGGTGCAGGGCCCGCCGGCACGTTCTGCAGGACCTCAGCAAGGGAGAACATGCAGAAGGAGATCTCCTCGTAGGAGACCCTGGCCCCACTCTCATACAGACAAGCAAAGGTCAGGGCTCCCTTGAGGGTGGGCCCGATGGATGCCAGGTCAGAGTAGCCGCTGGGGCCCTCATAGATCACCCAGGGCTCTGTCCAGCTGTAGGGGTCCAGGGGGGACTGGCTCAGGTGGATTCCCATGTGGAGCCGAGCCCTGCGCCCCGCCGGGTGGGAATACAGCAGCCAGGTGGGGCTCTGAGACAGGGTGGCAGGGGGCCCAGGGAGACTCAGAGCCCAGGCGTCCCTGGTCCCACTGAGCCCAGGCCCTGGGCCGGGCTCCTCAGGGCTGTCCTTCCACCCCTCCATCCCGCCGAGCCCCTGGTCCCCTTGGGTGCCTGCAGTACCCTCCTCTGAGGGTTGCTGGACTCCAGGACAGAGGCGTGGGGACTCGGGGTGGTTCCTGGCACCTGCCGACCATCCCTCACCCCTGGGCCTGCCGGAGAGTGGGGCAGGGAAGCCCAGGATGCTGCCCTGGCAGCCCCGGGCCGTCTCAGCCAGCACCGGCACGAGCTCCCCAGGCAGGAAGGAGGCGCCCTCATCTGCGCTAAGCGCCTGCACGCGGCGGCCCAGGGGGCTCCGGGCATTGCAGTAGAGGATGCTGCCGGCCTGCTGGCCGTCCACCGCAGCCAGCTGGCACTCGCCCGAGCGCAGGTTGGGCACAAGGCCTCCACGGTGCCAGGTGCGGCCGTGGTCGTCGCTGTAGAAGGTGAAGGCATGGGGGCTGGTCCTGCAGATCTTGCCAAAGCACTCCCGCCGGTCCACGCGGTACGCGTAGGCTGGCACCAGCAGACGGCCTGAGCGCAGCTGGATGCCGTGGCCCGGGCCGACAGCGAACGTGGCCCAGTCTGCAGAGGAGAGGGCCTGCGGTCATCCCAGCAAGGAGGCGGCCATGGCCGCAGCCAGGCACCGCCTCCCTCCCTGGGGGCTGGGGAGGGTCCACAGCCAGTGCCTCAGATTAGGGGACAGCTCCTGAGGGAGTCACCCCGGGTTGTGCCCTCACCCCCCACTCCTGCTGGCCACTCTGGATCGTCCAGTGCTGGACAAGCCTCTCTCCAGCATCAGCAGGAGCCGGGAGCCCAGGCAGGCTACTTGGCCAAGTTCTCAGCTCGTGAGCAGGTAGTTAGTCCCTGCATGTCGATGGACAACCATCGACATGCCCAGTGTGAGCACTGTCCAGACAGAGGGGCAGCCAAGGGCAGAGGGGGTATGCGGACCTTCAGGGCGGGCTTGAGCTCTGGGCCTGAATCCCGTGGAGTAGGGTCCACAGGAGCAGACAGTCCTTTAGACCGGCTCTGTGTGTCCTGTCCATGCCTCAGAGCCGGCCACACCCCTCAGCTTAGATCCCACCTACAAGGGTGAGGGTGACCCTGCGTCAGCGTCTCCATGCCAGGAGTGGGGTGGCCTCAGAGGGCAGTGGGTAGTCAGGCCCCTCAGCAGGAGTGGAGGAAAAGCTTTAGGGTCAGGCCACCTGCGCAGCCCTGGACCCTAGGGTGGACACCCCCTGGGTGGGGGACACCCCTGGTGGGGTAAGAAGGCAGAGGGCAAGTGGTAAAGGTGAGGAGCCAGTGGGGTTGGGGTGTGCTAAGAGGGAGGGGGCCCCAGCGCTCAGGCAGAGACGGTCTCAGTGAGATGAGCCTGCTCTTCAGGCCCAGTGAGGGTGACCAACACCCACTTACAGGACTGAGGGGTTCAGGGAAACGCTGTGGTGGCCCTTGGCTTGGGGGGTGGAGTAGGCAGCCCCGTGACCTGTAACGGACCCTTTCCCCGCCCCCCCACCGTGCGGACCCCGGACCCAGTGCGGACACCACCATGCCACTGTGCAGACACCTCCCGGCGAGACCCCGCCCGCCGCTCTGCGGGCCCCCTCCCAGTGCAGACACAGCCAGGTCCGGCCCCCGCCCCTCCCCTGGGAGGCCCGCCCTGCGCCCCAGTGAACAGCGCACCCGCCCACCCACACCCCGCCTACCCTGCTCGGCGCTGCCCACCGCCTCCTCAGTGAGGTCCCTGGCGGCGCCCCAGCTGCGCCCCGCGTCTCGGCTGGTCACGCAGCAGAGGCGCGCGGCGTTCCTGCCCGTGGCGATCTGCGTGGCCTCGGGTGTGCGACCCCGCACCGCGATGAAGAAGAGAAAGATGGTAGCCGTGCGGGCGTCGTGCACCGGGCAGGGGTTCATGGACCGGTGCTCCTCCAAGGCCGCGGTCCCCAGCACGTGCGCGGCGCCCCACTGCCCGGGGAGGGAGGGCGGGCGACCTCAGTTTACCTATGCGCGCGGCGGTGCCCCGCCCGCGCCCTGCCCGCGGTGCGCGCCCCGGCCACTCACCCGCACGGAGCCCCCGGCCAGCGTGCCGCTCCTCTGCACCAGGCGGTGGGCGTGGGCATCGTCGGGGCTGAGCCGCTGCTCCGCGAAGGCCAGCAGGGTGGGCGCGGGGGGCACGGGCAGCAGCGCGGGTACGCGGTACGTCAGGCCGCTCCTCTCGCGCTGGAAGAGCACAGTCCGCTCGGGGACACGCGGGGCCTCCATGCTCTGCCGAGCGGGCCCAGGGCCCCGGGGTCAGCAGACCACAGGGTCAGCGGGTGGCCCGTGCTCGCTCCCCTCCTGTCTGCCTACAGTGGGGAGGGGGCTCTGCAGGTGCAGACACCCCCCAACCCGCGTGCCTCTCTGTGCCGGCCTCCTCGGAGACGGCCCCATCCCAGGCTCCTCATCCCAAGACTAGGGCAGCCCCTACCCCCCTCCCTCCCTGCCACTGCACCCCGGAATGTCTGCAGTCTGCCCTTCCTCCTCTCAACCAGGTCCCCGGAGCAGGGGCTGCCTGGCCAGAGTCCCCTGACTCTGCCCACCCTATTCCTGGGACACCCGCCCAGCAGGACGCTGGCCGAGAGGACAATCTGGGCCCAAAGTTTTGGACACTCAGGGGTTCAGTTTCCCCAAATAGGGGCCCGATGACCGCAGGCCACACAAGCATGGGGAGACACAGACACACAGAAAGAAAGTGACACTGGGAGAGACCTAGGCGCGAAACAGAGGCGCACACAGATGCATGCACATTCACCACGCACAACGCTGGAGACAGAAAGACACTTGCCTTCCACACACTCGGACACATACTTCTTGGAGAGGGTGCCCCAGCTGCCGCTACCACCCTTTTTGGGGGGGGGATTGTGGGATTCTTGGGAGTGGCCAGGAGGGATGGGGGCGGGGGAGTGGCCTGCTGAAGCCATGAGGGGAGTGCCAGTGGGTCTCCTGCAGGGAAAGGGCCCGGAAGTCCAGATCCTAGCAGGACATCTGCGGGTGCAGGGAACCAAACACCCTGCCCTTTGGGCTCCCGGGCAAAGCTGGGGGTCATGGGAGGTCCAGCAGAGCCACCCCACCCATAGGTGCCCAAATGGCTCCCACATGTGCCCCAAGGGAGCTAAAGGCAGTGCAGGCCAGAGGAGCAGTGAGAGGGACCCCAAGGAGGCCAAAGAGGTCACCCACCCTGCTGTCCTGCCCCACCCCCTCCTGGCAGAAAGGGGGGCCAGGACACTTTAGTCTGTGCACTGGGGGTTGCCCTTGGAAAGGAGCCGCTCCCCACAGTGATGGGAGGAAGATAAACACCCCCAGTGTCCGTCTGAGCCCCGGCAAGCTGCTGCCCACAGAGGCCAGAAGCCAGGCTGCGGGAGGGCGTGCTGAGCCTGGGGGGGTCTAGCTTGGGGGGGCCTTCCTGGGGCCGAAGGCTGAGGGGATGGGGGAAGGGCAGAGAGGAGACCACATCCCAGGCACCAGGGGAGCCCAGGCTGGAAGGACCCCGGGAGAGATTCAGCAAGGACAAAGAAGGCCCTTCCCGCTGCAGTCCTGGCCTCTCTTCCACAACCCAGGCCCCAGCCGCTCCTGCCCCTGCATCCCGTGCCCCTACACAGCCCAGCTCCCTGAACCTCGGCTGGTCACCCGGCCCTCCCTTACCACAAGTCAGGGCTCCTGTAGGGGTAACAGGCAGCAGCCTAGGGCAGCCTTTCTGGAGGTAGCCTCACTCCCGGGAGTATGCTCCCAAGGGAGGCTCATGAGGGGGCATATTTGGGGTGCACCTGGGGTCTGCAATCCCCCGGATGGGGGCCTCTTTCTCTAATTTGCACAAAGGCAAATGTGGGCTGGCCTGGCCCCCTGGAGGGACGTGAATCAAGGAGCGCCCTGGTGGTCCTGCGGGCGGCAGGCAGTAGAAGGTGGTAGAGCCACGTGCCGGACTTGGAGCAGGCAGAGCCCGTGGCCAGGCACTGGACGGTGACTAGCACACAGCACCGAGGGAGGAGGGAGGGAGAGCACGACCCCCACATCGTACTCAGGAGCATCGCTCTCAGAGCTCAAGGCCCTGCACACAGGGGCATGGGCAGTGCATGTCAGAGGAGACAGTCGGAATGGACAGGGGCTGGCCGGTGACGGGAACGAACACCCCTAAACAAGAGTGGCCTTGCTCAGACACGTGGGAGGGTGTGCTGCCTGGCTCAGCCTCCACTCCCAACATCCCCAAAACATGCAGACACCTCCACCTCTGTCCACCTCTGCCCAAGGCCACCTACTCCCGAAAGGCTCTCGTGGGCAGCACATTGGCCCACTCCACAGCCCGCTGAGCCCAGCAGACGCCCTGCCAACCTCAGGCCCGCCCCGACCCCCACCCCGGCACAGCCTCTGGGGCTTCGAGAGCAGCTTGGTGTGTCTGGAAGCCCTGGGCTCCTCCCCAGTCTGCCTGCAAAGGGCAATTGTGCCCCAGAGCAGGAAGCAGCTGCAGCTGCCGCCTGTCCCTCCAGGCTGGATGGACAAAAGAGGACATTCTCTGCCCTTGGCTTACTCCGCAGGGCCGGAGCCACCTGGACTGCTGTCAGTGAGAGCAGGGGGTCTGGGCCCACCCCCGCCCAGCCTGCAAAGCTGCACAGACCAGTTCCTCACTCTGCCCACTGCACCGAGCAGGACGAGGGCACCCAGCGCCACCCTTGCCTAGGCCCCAGGTCTCTGCAGAGCCCCAAAGTCCCGGGGAGACCCCCCGAATCTAAGAGGAAGAGCAGAGCCTCATGGGCAGCTGGCCCAGTTTGGCCAAATCAGCGGGGTCCAGGGGTTTGGCTTGACCAGGATGGGATGGCTGTGTCCCAACATCCTGTGCGGACTCCACCCTGGAGCCCTCGGGACAGCCCAGGTCCCCCACCCACAACCTCCGGGTGAGCACAGCCCCTGTCGTCTGGCCTGGGATCCCAGCCTGTAGGGCACTTAAAGGCCTGTGTATAAAGAGCAAAGGGCTTTGAATACAAGCTGGGCAGAGGGGCCTCCTGGCTCTGTCACTTCGGGAAGGGTCTCCAGTCTGACCTGAAGGACCTGTGCCGTGTGAGGGGCCAGGACTCAGTTACAAAGCTCGGGCCTGGTGGAGCGGAGCCCACACACCTGTCGGCTCCCACAGGCCCAGCCCAGTGTACATCACCCAACCTCTACCTCTACCCCGGGGCCCTTCAGCACCCCTTCCCCTCAGACCAGGCAATGATCCCACGGGGGGCTTCCATGTGGAGCCTCTGGCTGGACAGCCCTCAGTCCATGCATCCTGCCCTCGGCCCGAAGAAGGGCAGCCAGGGAGGGCAGAGGAGCCCATTTCTGGCCCTCAAGGGCTGGGGTGCAGGTGAGCAGGGAGGGGACTCACCGGGCACCAGAGGAAGGCTGCAGAGCTGGAGCGGCGGCAGGAGCGCCTGCTTCTCCAACCCGGCCAGCAGGGCAGAGACCAGGGCCTGCTGTGTGGGCGGGACCCGAAGCTGGCTGGATCCCAGGGCTGCGTCAGGACCCAGGGCCCAGGACCCTCCCGCCAGCAGTGTGGCTTCAGGGAGTGCAGGGAGAGGGTGGTGGTGCAGGAGCACCCTGGGGAGGGGCCCAGCACCACGACCGCATCTCTCCGCCCCGGGGTGCTTGGGATCTGGGGGCTCGCCCTCCCACAAGGCTGTGCTGGGGCAGCCGGCTACAAGGGGCCACAGCTGACCTCTGAGGGGCACAAAGATGTCCACTGCCCCCAAGCCTCCTCCAGAGACACCCTCCCACGAAAACCCCAGCGAGCACTCAGACTCCTGGGGAGGTTCTTCCCACTACAGCCTGGATGCCCAGCTGTGCCCCCGCCACTGGCCCCCAGGACACCGGCCCCTTGGGCTCTCCCTGGGATCCAGCTCCATGTCCATGCTAGGCCCCCAACTCAGACTGCACCCCACCCCCTCCCCAGCACCAGCCGCCTTGTCAGTGCTCCTGCCAGCTGGCCCCTTTCACCAGTGACCACGTCCCGGTGACCGCTGCCCAGGCCAGGGCCTCAGGGGAGCCCTCAGCATCCCAGCCCTATCAGTGAAGAGGGCTCTCTGGATGGCCGTCCCCCTCAGGGGTTCCCCGGGCCCCACCTGCACCAGCAGGACCCCGCACAAAAGACCCCAAGACCTGACCTTTACTGCCCATCTGCTTGTACCCACTGACCTTCATCCCACATTTTTCCTGAAGCTCTTCTTTCCAGCTGATCTCTTAACTCAGGCAAAGACCCGACAGGTAAAGTATTTGGTGATGGAGGCTGAAACTGCTCCCCCCCACCCCCAGGCAATATCAACTGCCCGGACCACCCGGACCAGTGGGAGCTCAACCCCCGACTCATGGACTCACACCTGTGCGGGTTTATCTGGTGCAGTTTCTCTGTGGGACTCACCGAGGAGTAAACTCAGGTCCGTTCAGTTACAGTAGGACTTCAAAGGGAAAGCAGGGCTCTGGGAAAATGGAGACATCCTATGATGTCCGTGTGGAGGTGATAATAAACCTGTCGAGTGTTCAGGTCCTCCGGGGAGCTGGGGAGGGGATGGATGGAAGCCCAGGGCTCTGCCGCAGAAGAAAGGGGGAGACTGTGGGAAGGAGTCACTGATGTGGGAAACAAAGGCAGAAGAAAAATTAAATTTCCTTACTACCACAGCCCATGGACAAGTCCTTGAAACAGGCAGAGTGACCTTCCTCTAGGGACTCACCTGCCTCAACCTTGATACTTTGCTGAGGGCAAAAGGCAACCTTACCTTGACCCCCAGGATCCTGTAAGTCTACTTTAACATGTAGAACCTTCCTTTATCTCTAAAGCCCCCAAGATACATGCTGGCAGTCATCCCCCGAGCACATGACCCCCCGATGTACATCTGGAGGGTCTCATGACTAGGGTTTTACTAGACGGTAGAAAATGACTTTTCCCAACCCCAGCTAGCCCCCTCAGGACCCTGGAAACCTTGCTTCCTAATCCCTTAGAGACTTACGCTCTCCCTAACCCCCTCCCAACTCGAAAGCATATAATGGGCCGCCCCCCAACTCCTCCGTCCTTTCCCCAGGCTTTAATAGAACCACCTTTTTGCACCAAAGATGTCTCAAGGATTCTTTCTTAGCTGTTCATTCCGGACCCCAACGTTTCCACATCAAGTACCATGTCCCCCCTCAGGGCCTCACCCCAACCATCTCCCTTCCCCTGCCCCCCACGACTGGGCCTGGTGCCGTCTGATGGGCCCCCTGCT